TGCTCATTGGCTACAGTACCACAACAACCCAGATTCACATTTCGTCTTTGCTGGACCCGATAATTAGCGCGGTAAAACATCAAAGAGATGCGGATCTTATTTTGGTTCAACTATTAAGTCATTGTTTTGGATTTTAAGCAACTGAAAATCATAGCTCATGTATAATAGGTTAAAATTATGTTCAACTTTGCAATAAGTAAACTGAAGTTCAAAAAGAATTATAAGGCCTAGGCCTGCTCTAAAAATAAAATTTTGATGTCCATTCAGATTGGAAGGAAATTTGGGGCGAGGCGCCGTTATTACTAGGCCTACTAGCAAAAAAAAAAAAAGAACCTACAGTACAAATGAAAACATCGTATGGACCTAGCCCTATGTATAATACAGTCCTAGCCCTATGTATTATACAGTAGATAAGTGTCCATTTTTCCAACCGTTTATTAGCCTAGATTATAACTAGAACGACTCAAACTTGATGAAATATCAATTTTAAGTCAGTTGTGAAAATCATACTGAAAAATACAAAAAAGAAAAAGTATTATGTACAGTCAATGATCATAAAAAGAGACGCCATATTCATCGAAACTTGCAACAATTTTATAAGTGTATGGTAAATAAATACCGAAATACATATACCATTTTCAATTTTCGTTTACGTTTCTTATGAAAAGTTGACTTGGAGTCAACTTTTCATAAGAATCGTTAGAAACGTAACGTAAGCGAGTTCGTTCAAGGATATTCGACAAAAACGCGGTTTCCTGTCGATTTGTGATAAATCGACGTATCAGACAGATATTCAACTCGTCGGTTTCCTGTCAAGCATTGCGTTATGACGATTTTGCTTTGCGTTACGTCGCTTTCACAACGCATCAGTTGCAATCGGTTTCCTGTCAAATCGTATTTTGTTACGTCAAAACGACGTAGTCGTAAGTAAATCAGCCCTCTTACGTCGACAGGAAACCAGGCTTTAGGCAAACGGGAAAGTAAATATTAATTAGAAATGTGCATTTCCAATAATAAGAGGAAAGGGCCCTATTGGGTTCTGTTCTGATATCATTCCCAATTCATATATTCTGCTCTGTGTTATGTCATGCTCTGTGTTATATTTGTCATATAAGACTTCTGTAAGATTCCTTTAGGAAATCTTTAGGACTTCTTTAAGATACCTTTTTAGGATTACTAAAGGAGTTCTATAGGATTCCTATAAGACACTATATGATCCCAGAAAGAAATCTATAAAATTTATCTATAAGATTCCTATAAAATATCTAAAAGATTCCTAGATAATTCATACAAGATTTCTATAAGATATCTATAACCTTCCTATATCATTCATACAAGGCTCCTATAAGATTACAATAAGATATCTATAAGATTCCTATAGAATTCATATTAGAAACCCATAGGATTCCAAAGGATTCTTATAAGATCTATATAATTCATATGAGATCCCTATAAGGTTCCTTTAGAAAATCTATAAGATTCCTTTAGGGATTCATATAGGATAACTATAAGATTCCTATTTGTTTCATTTAAAAATCTTGCAGTTTTCCTATAAGATTTCTTTAAGAATCTTATAGGAAACATATTAACATTCCTATAGGATACCTATACGACTCCTATGTGATTCCTATAGGATTCCTAAAGGATATCTACTGTATTGAAATAATCCTATAGGATCCTATAGATGTTACGAAAAATCTATAAGATTCCTATAGGATTTTCTCTTATAGGATCCTATAGGTTTTTGTAAGGGAAATCAGGCCTGAGTAAAGGAGGCTGCTTAGCTCTAGCCTTGCCTATGCGGCTCCGCGCATCACGACTTTAGAGTGAGGTATCAAAGTCCAGGATGCATGTTGAAGTATTGCTGACTTTACAAACGTAGATAGGCCTAGTTCTAAAAAGATTTTTTTTTTTTTTTTTTTTT